ACTGATGGAGACAGATGCAGATCCACAGCCAAACATTAGGCAGAGTTCGAGGAATCCTGCAGAAGAAGGAGAGAAAGGATTGTAGGAGCCAGAGGGGTCAAGGACATCTAAGAAAACTCACAGAATCAACTAACCTGGTGCATAGAGGCTCACAGACTGAACTGACAACAAGGGAGCCTGCATGGGACTGACCTAGGCACTCTGTACATATGTTACAGCTGTGTAGCTTGGTCTTCTTGTGGGACTCCTAACAGTAGGAACAGTAGCTGCTCCTACTCTTTTACTGGCTTTTGGGACCCTACTTCTCATACTGGATTGCCTTGCCCAGTCTTAATACACGGGGAGATACTTAGTCTGTTTTACTGCAACTTGATATGCCATGTTTTGTTGATACTCATGGAAGACCTGTCCTTTCCTAAACAGAAATGGAGGAGTGGATTGGGGTGGTGATGGGGGTGGGAACAGAGGTGTGGGGTGGGAAGAGGGAGTATAAGGAGAGGAGGGAGGGGATGTAAAATAAATAAATTTATTTTTAAAAAAGATGTAACTCAATTTTACACCTCAAGTAGCTAGAAAAGACTGAGAAAAAAACTAGGCTATGCACTACCAATAATAAAGATAAGACTTGAGTATGTAGAAACAGAAAATGAAGGTGAGCTAAATGTTGATTGCTTGAAAGATCAAAAAGCCAGGCTTGGTGGTTCATAACTTTATTCTGGTATTCAGGATGCAGAGGGCTGGCAAATCTCTGAGTTCAAAGCCAGCCTGGTCTACATAGAGTTCCTGTCCAGGGAGGGTCACAGTGAGATCCCATCTTACTGCCTAAACAATATCTAAGCAAGGATTATTACATCAATAAACATGCTTATATGGAAGGGCAAGTCTCATGGGGATCCAACCTCTGCAAAGAACTTAGGCAACTGAGGAATGCTGGGAGCTGGAGAGAGAGTTTTCCAGGAGGAACCCTAATTGGTTATCCAATTCTAAGTCACCCTGAAACCATGTATCAACCTCAAAGAAGGAGAGGCCTTCTCATGAGGTACATGAGAAGGTACTTGGAAGGGATTGGAAAGATGCACAGGAGGGGAGAACTGATATATTTAATTTCAAAAAATAAAAAATGTTTAAAAAGTTCAAAAAAATCATCAAAATGTTGTCAGATTGAATAGGAAAGAAGACTCTACTAGAATCAGAAAATAGGACATTATTACTGATCTCATAAAAATTAAAAAATAAAATAGTAAATAAAAAGAATAACTATATAACTCACTAGCACTATGAGATATTGTGACAAAAATTTCTAACAAAGAAAAGTCTAGGACCAAATGGGTTTACTTGTAAATTAGACCAAGCATTTAAAGAAAAATAAACACCAATCCTTAGCAAGCTCCTCTAAAAATTAGAGGGGGAGAGAAAACACTTTACAATGTGTTATATTCTAAAGTTGGGCAAAGACACTACAAAAGCCTGCAGACTAACATTCTTGAGGAATACATTTGGAAATATTCTCAAAGTGCTAGCCAACAGAATCTAGCAGCACATTAAAAGACTACACAGGCCACGTGATATTATCCAAGGAATTCAGCATATTAATAAAGTGAAGAAAAATAGTAAGTGATTATTTCAACTGATACAGAAAACCCATTTTATAAAAACTAACTCTTCATTCATAAATTGTTAAGGAATAAAGGAAAACTTCCTCCAAATGATACAAGGCATGAATGAAAATTCTACAGTTAAAGTCATACTTGATGAGAAACAACTATTTTTCTCTAAGATCGCAAACAAGACAATGTCCAGTTTCACCATTTCTATTCCATATAGTTCCATGCACTTGAACCTAAGCAATGAGACCTAAGCAAAGAAGTAAAAAGGCATCCAGATTTGAAAGAAAGAAATAATGTCCATCTGTAATGACATTTTTATTTTTTATATTCTAAAAACTACACAAAATTTTTTAAGTTAATAAACATACTCAGTAAAGTTGTATGTTTAAAAGTAAATTGTATTTTCATTGCTAGTAATTAAAAATTTAAAGGCTAAATCTAAAAAATTCAATTTCCCATAACATCAAATAGAACAAATCACTCACAAATAAATGGAGGGAGGCTTAATACTTAAAGCACTTAAAAATTGCAGAAATTAATAAGAAATAAAAAAGGAAAGCCATCCTATGTTCAAGGACTGGATAACTTATTATTTAGATAGTAGTATTTCCCTTGGATGCTTCATGGAGTCAATTGAACCCCTATTAAGGTCCTGACAGCCATTTTTTTCAGAGAAGGAAAAGGCAACACTAAATTTCATAGGGAAACAAAAGACCCTAAATATTAACATAATCATGATAAAGAACAACAAAGTTGTAGGACTCACACTTCTCAATGTATTACCTCCCTAATTTAAGCAATAAGTTACTAGCACAAGGAGACATCCATATTAAGAGATCTGTTGATTAGGACTGACATTGCAGGAATAAACACCTACATTTATAACGTTTACAATCAATTCTTAAAAAGGATGCTCAAGATATCAATTGAGAGAAAGAACAATCTCTTTGACAAATGATGCTAAGATTGATATTCTTAAGCACAATATACAATAATTAACTCAAGTGCATGAAAGACAAACATTTAAGAGCTAAAACTATAAAACATAAGGGAAAACTTCATGGTCTTAAATTTAGCAATGGTTTCTAAATATGTTTGCAAAAGCAACAGTAACTATTAATAAATTAGACTTCAACAAATTAAAATTGTTGACACTACTGACATATTCAACACAGTAAAAAGACAACCAAGGCTGGAACAAATGTTTGTAAACTGTGTATTTAATAAGGCCTAGTATTGAGAATATAGTTCAGTACCAACTTTTTCCTAAAAGAGAAAAGACAAATGACCAAGGAGCAGATGAAAAAAGCTCAACTTACTTAGCAATTAGGGAAACGCAAATCAAAATCAGAGTAAGACACCACTTTACACCCCCTAGAATAGCTACAGTTACAGAACACATGCTCAAATAATATAGAAAGAGAAGATATCAGGCACTGGTAAAGTGTGGAAAAATTGGAGTCTATGTACGTAAGAGAGAACATAAGAGGTACAGACACTGAGTGAAAGCTATTTGCTAGCTCTTCAGTGAGTCCAACATAGAATTCCTCCATGTTCCTGCAATCCCAAGCTTATGAATATACCAAATTACTGAAGAGAAGTGTTCAAACAAAATCTTGTCATGATGATAGCAACTTAATTCCCAATAGGCAATAGGCAAAAACCACCTAAAAATATATCCACACTTCAGTCATGAATAATCAGATTATAATATATCCATGCAATGAAACATTGTTCCATTACTAAAAAGGAATATATGTTAATGCACAGTATAAGTGGAACATAATTATACAATGTGAAAAAAATTGAACAAAGCATACTTATATCCATCAAGTTTCTGCCTTTTCTATTAGATCTGTGTATCATTTATATATAGTAATCATCTCTCTCATATATACGTGTGTGTACATACACATAATCTGAATGTAATGCAGTTTATTTTGTCAAAATTAGATAAAACCAAACAATGTACTTTCAACCTTTTTCCAGATTCTGACTCTAAAACATCACAGTGACTAGACCAGTTATATGTATTGTTTTCTAAGTGATGTGGCTTAAAAACAGCATCCACGCTAGTACAATGACCCTGAATGAAACCACACCTGACACAACATATTAAAAATAGCAAATGTACAACAGCAGCACTTTCTCTAAAATAAACTCAGGTTTCAAGTTGAAATTAGAAGACCAAAATTTTGTGTGTGTATATGCGTTGAGGTGTCTGGGTAAATGTACATGTATGCGTGTTGTTAGTCAAATTATGTGGGAAAAGAAGTACTGACTCACTGAGATTTGTTATGGTTACATATTCCTTTTACAAATCTCTTCTCAAAGTCTTTTCATTTGCTATTTTCAATAAGCGAATAAAACGAAAAAGACAAAGGACTACTTTCCCCGGCCTTGCAATGGCAGTACATGTAAGATATTTCTGTGATAGCTAGAACCCTACCAAGCAAGGGAAAAATATATTCATCAAAAGTATATTAGGACTTAAACTAACTTAAACCACCTAACACGCATGTTTTCTCTTTCAAAAGTATTTCATATTTTGCCCTTGTGTCTCTCAGAAAGTACTGTCTCTCACTGTCAGATGAATTATGCCCCCCCCAAAATGTGCTTTTTGTAGTGAATCAGCAACAAAGCTTTAACAAAAATATAGACTCCAAATTAGCATTTTTTAAAATTTGTTCACTGCTTGCTCACTCTTGGTCCAGTGAGAGGTGTTATTTTTAACCGTGGGTGCCGTATCTTTGGCAGAAGTCAAGGAATCTCAACAAATTTTCATTTTTCTTTGGAGTAGCTGATATCACACATACTTAAGATAGAAAATGGTAAGCTCTTTCATGCCAAGGTCTTGATAACAATGCACTTCTTACAGAAATTATATTGTGAATATGAGAGTCAAGTGGGTGAAGTGGACCAAGAACATCTGGCTGAACATTTCAATCCAGTCTTGCATGAAGTAAAAACCACCATGTCCACTTTTATTTCAAAACCCCCATGATTTGTGAATCTCAAACTGAACACAAATTGATGATATGACAGAATTCATTTCCAAGTCCCCATAGGATTTATCTATTGAGGAAAACAGGAAAAAAACCAAAAAACGATATAAGGGTTTTACCTCGTCCAACCTGCCAATCACTGCGGATATAAATTAATGTAGCAAGGAAACCATCTGATGCTGTCAGCCCCCCCCTCCGCCCCCAATCCAAGGTGGATTAAAGACCTCGCGCCCCCGCAGGGCCCCGTCCTTTATTCCACCCATCACTTTCCCCCCCTCTTTCTTTCCTTCCCTGCATCCCACCCTTCCACCTAGCTTTGCCCAGTGACAACCCAGGGTCAGCAGGGAAACACCTGAGGACCAGTTCAGGGCGGGGCCCGGCTCGTCACCTTTTGAGGTATCTGGCGTCCTCGCCTTGCATGGCGGCGGCGGTAGCGGCGTGGGGAGGATGGGGGTGTCTGAGAGTCTGGGGGGGGCTACTTCCGGGGACCCGGCCAAAGTACCCTCACAGCCAAGGCGGTGACAGTCCCGAGGCCTGCAAGGCGGGGCGGCGGCGGCGCTGCGGTTACCACGGTGAGGCCGCCGGCTCCTCCCACAGCTCCTGGGCCCCAAAACACTGGAGCAGCCCAGACCCGCCCAGAGCCGTCAGGGCCCGGCTCTCCGCAAGGCGCATGCGCCCACGGGACAGCTGCAGTATGCGCAGGCTCAGTTTGAGTCCTTGACTCCCGCGACTAATCTGACGCTCCCAGGAAGAAGCCCGGGAAGGGTTTGGTGCTGATCCCGGGAGCTTGTGGTTAGGAGTGATATTCCTGGTCACTGCCCCCTGGAGGATGGGAAAGGAAAAGGCATTGCAATCTGCAAAATTGGGATTTATTAAAGTCCTTAGCGTGGAACAAGACAAGGGTAACCAGCTAACTTTTTTAGCTAACTGATAGACATCAGGCTAACAACCTCTACAGTGGGGCTTCTGCTTTGCAACATGTAAAAGGTTCTGCAATGATTACACTGAGTTCTAGCTGGTGGAAATGGTCTGCAATATGGAATGGATAAAATTAGACTCAACTTTAAAAGTGGCATTTTAAATCATAAACGTAGAAAATACTCCCCTCCATCAATACAAGCCAACTTCTGAACTTCTAAATCATTCACTGATTAACCTTAACTCAAAGTTCGTGAGTAATTGTTTTTTCTCAGGCAGGTAGTTGCAGCAAAAAGAGCTGCTTTTTAGCAGGAGCAAGCCACTTGCTAGGCTTTGAGCTAGCCTCTCCTTTAACCTGTCCCTCATTTATTATCTTCTAGTCCCACATTATTAGCCATTAGCCACCCCTCTTCCAATGAGTTCACATAATATTGACTGACCTTTATATGTAAAATGTCATGCTGATACTCTATATGGAACATATACTACAGAGAGACATTGCAAAGATGTTTTATGGTCCCACCCACTCACACCAACTACACTATTTCTGTTAAAGTTATAACTATATTTTCAATCTATCAATAAAGGAATTTGGAGCAAACTTTAAGTCCTTCCTGTTTATCAATTTTCCTTATTGAACTGTCACAAAATTCACAAGTTAGTCCTGCTATTCAGCTGTTCTTCCCATTCACACTCTGCCCATTAGTCTAAGCAGTTCACCTGTGAAGTCCTTCCTAATTGGACTTTATATTTTCTGTGTTTTCTCAAACACTGATTCTTCAAACCAATGCAAAAATGTACAAATTATCATTCACAATACCTTTAACAGTAATAAAAACAGGGCACATTACTTTAAAGCAGTGGTTCTCAACCAGTGGGTCGCAATGCAAACTCTGGGATTGAACGACCCTTTCACAGGGGTCACCTAAGATAATCGGGAAAACAGATATTTACAGTATGATTCATAACAGTAGCAAAATTACAGTTATGAACTGTCAACGAAAATAATTTTATGGTTGGTGGTCACTACAACATGAAGAACTGTATTAAAGGGTCGCAGCATAAAGAAGATTGACAAGCATTGCTTTAAAGCTTGTATATAGGCTAGCATGATGGCTCATTGGGTAACAATGCCTGCCTCCACACCTAATAATGTGAGTTCTATCCTTGGGCCCCACACCATGAGAGGATAGGAACCTACTTCTGCAAGTTGTCCTCTGACTTACACGTGTCCTGTGACACACAAACACATCTACAATAAAATAACAAAAAAATTTAATGTAAAGCCTCCACATACCTGAAATTAGAAGGTCAAAAGATATATTAAAATGAACAACTAGTAAAGATTCATGCAGTGTAGGGTTTTGACCCAATTAACCTGTTTAGCTCACTCCTCCTACCCATATTTGCCACTGAACTAATATTTGGCATTGAAAATATGAATCAGAGTTTGAAAAGGAAAACTGAAACCAGAGCGATGAAGAGAGAAACAGAAATGTGATAAACTAGTAAAGCTCAACTGTTAGTTTGGGCCAGGAAATGTAAAATATGAAACTGATAATTTTTATTTATTTATTTATTTATTTATTTATTTATTTATTTATTTATTTATTTTTTGGTTTTTCGAGACAGGGTTTCTCTGTGTAGCTTTGCGCCTTTCCTAGAACTCACTTGGTAGCCCAGGCTGGCCTCGAACTCACAGAGATCCGCCTGGCTCTGCCTCCCGAGTGCTGGGATTAAAGGTGTGCGCTACCACCGCCCGGCCTGATAATTTTTAATGTATGAAAGTATGGAGACACACAAAGATAAACAAGGCTCTGAAATAAGGGCAGTGGCCAATTTGAAATAATTTGATTATCAGGAGGACTAATAACTGAGGTTATTTTTAACATTAAATAAGTCAAAATTAGAGTCCATCATGATTCTTAGCAGATAAAACCAAGAGAAAAACCACTTTTGTTGAAACCAGTAACTGTATCAAGGTCTTAATGAAATTCTAAAAGTTGTTAGACCTCTTCTCCATATATTTTGTAAGGATAGTTCACCTCCTTTGTACAAGAGAAAAACTTGTTTACCGGAAATGTTGACTAGTAATAGGGACTAATGATAGTTCCTATTTGTAAATCCCAATATAAACAGATTCAACTAACTCTGAAGTTTAAGCTTGCAAAGTTTCATCACACAGAGCATGTGTGTACAATGAAGACTATTCAAGATTGATCAGATGCTATGGGATGGTCTGTATGTCAAATGTGTTGCTGATTGGTCAATGAATAAATCACTGATTGGCAGTGGCCAGGCAGGAAGTATAGGCGGGACTAACAGAGAGGAAAATTGAGAGAACAGAAAGCTGGGAGGGGAGACACTGCCAGCCGCCATCAGGACAAGGAAGATGTAAAGTACCGGTAAGCCACAAGCCACGTGGCAAGGTATAGATTAATAGAAATGGATTAATTTAAGCTGTAAGAACAGTTAGCAAGAAGCCTGCCACGGCCATACAGTTTGTAACCAATATAAGTCTCTGTGTTTACTTGGTCGGGTCTGAGCGGCTTGGGACTGGCAGGTGAGAGAGATTTGTCTTGACTGTGGGCCAGGCAGGAAAACTCTAGCTACAATCAGAAGTGTTGTGCACTGTAGAAAACAACTTAAAAACTGGATCTGAATTACTTTTGCAGGATATTGGATGAATACATAGAAAAACCTTTAAACACTGCAAAAAGTTAATTAGCCAGGAATATCCTTTCAATAAAGGTAAGTATTAGGAACACTATATTGAAGAGAAAAAGAAAATTGAAAATTACCTACATATTTTTGAAATTTCAGGTAATTTACTGACAATAACATGTATTCCTCTTGGTCTATAGTTCTATGATATTTGGAAAATTAATAAGTCATATAATTGTCAGAATTATAAAAATAGATAGCTACTATCCTTCTAAATTCCCAAGTATTCCTTTGGCGACATATTATATTAACAGTTCAGAAAAATGTGGATCTGTATTCTGTTCTCATAATTGTACCATTTCAAAAATATCATCTAACCAGATGTGGTACAGTGTTTTGAGTCTGATTTTGGGTGTGAACAATATTCTAGATTCTCTTCCTTTGATACCCTTGAGGGCAGATGTGCCTCATTATTGCCTCCCACATGGTCTCCAATATAACACTGTGGAAGGTCTTGTGACCACTGAATGGTTGCACAATTCTGGTGGGAAGATTGGTTTGCTACAGTTGGAGGGTGGAGATCTAAGATCCTTGCTTGGATCTTGTTCCTGGTGTTGGGAGTGAATTCATACTAATATATATATATATATACATATATATATGTATATATATACTATTATATATTTTATTTCTTTTATAAGAAGTTCTTAAGTAGAAAAACCGACCTATTGTGATAGAAAACAAGACAAGTGGTTTGACCTGGGACACGTGTTAAGAGTAGTTAGACTGCACATGGTCTGGAGGAAGCTTTGGGGTACAGGTTACTCATTCGAATGCATTTGTCAAAATTCACCAAACGGTGTAGTAAGTCATTGTCACCATATTGTATATGTTATTCCTTAACTGATTGATTCAAAACCGTGAGCCAAGACAGATGGATCAAATAGTATGTTCTACACACTTGAGGAAATCTGTGAATAAAACAATTAGTGGAGTGAGAGTGAGGTAGTTCTGTCAGTCAAGTACCTGCCATGGAAGCATGAGGACCTGAGTTTGGATTCCCAGTGTCCATATTATAGTCAAACATACATATCTGTCACAGCACTTGGGAATGGGTAGGCTTTCATATATATATATATACATGTATATGTATGCACTGCACATGCATGGGAAGGCACATATTCATATAGCCACATGAGAAGATACATACACCAAGTACACATAAACAAAGTATTAACATTGAATAACATGCAGAGTAAAGTGAGAAAACTATTTTTTTAAGATTAAGATAGGAATATTATTGCAATTATGAGCTCATAACAGCTGTGGTTGTCCTGCTCAGGACTAGGCCCATGGGGGAGTCATGAGCTTTTATCTGTTTGGGGGGAACTATTGGTTGTTGATGGATGCTGGAGGTTGAATTGTGTACTACTGGTTAACCCACTAGGCTCAAATGGATAATTCCACACCCATGGTCATACACCCTGACTAACCTCAGTGGGTCACAAGACAACACAAAAAGATGAGAATGTGGGTTAGGAACTTGCAGGGAGGAGTTAGGGGGATGAGAGGGGTAAGAAGGAAATGCAGGGTGGATGTATGAGAGTAATCAGCATGCATTATATACATGTGAAGTTTTCAATTTTATTAATAAAAAGGTAGGAACAGCATATAAGAATCTATAAGTGTTTTATGTGACTTTTAGAATAAAATAAAAGTAGTCAGAAATCCCAGTTAAAGTAAAGAAAGAAAACAATATGCATGGAGGTTAAAGAATGTTACAGATAAGAAAAGCTACCTTGATTCCTTGGGAATTGTACATATTTATTAATTTTATTGCATTTATGTATTTATTGTGTGTGCACTAGTGTGTATGGAAATTAGAGGACAATTTGCAGGAATTGATTCTTTCCATTGTGTGGGTCCTTGGGTTTGAACTCATATGATCAGGTTTGGCTGCAAGTGCTTTTACCCAATCAGCTATCTGCTGGTTTTATATGTATTAGTTTTGCATTTCCCTCTTATTCCCTTCCCCTAGAGCAACTGTTCTTAACCTGTGGGTCGC